CCCCCCCCCCCCCCCCAAAAAAAAAAAAAAAAAAAAAAAAAAAATCACCCAAAAAACAAAGAAACGGTACATTTGTACCTTAAAGAAGTTCATTGCTCTCTTGCATTCACCATAAGCATCACTTTATCCATGACATAGTGGCTTGACAACAACATGTACTTAAGATCAGTAGAAGGGCTTCCTAACAACACCTGTCTCTCTGAACATCATGAATGATGTCACTTCTCCAGGGAAATACCCATTCAGAATCATTCAGAGAGACAGAAACCTTACAAAACGTGACGAGCAGTCCATTGAGTAAATACAGACCGACAGCAACAACAGCTCAGCATTTTGAGGACAGACCACTGATAACCCTTCACAATGACACAATGTGTCTAAAGCAGTCATCTTCTACATACACAGGTAGGCAGAAAAGGAAAGTCTCTGGAACCTCTGTTCAGTTTTAATTCAAAGCTGGAACCAACAGAAAATCCACATGCCTCTTGGACTGTATGCATGACAAGATGTGACTTTTGATGAAAGACTAGAAGACACAAGAACAAGGTGAGTTTAATATTGTGGAATATGCCACTGATATACCTTTGTAGGAAATTCATGACTGGACATTGAAAATGATATATAATCTACAGGGAGGAATATTTGAATCGTTATAGAGCTCTGTCACAAATCTGCCTGATAAATGTATAATTATGTAGAAGCAGCAAACAGCATTCCCAGTAAATACCAAAAATGCTCCATCCATATATCAATTTCACTTTTCTATCTTTTCCTCCACTTAATGAATGATGTTACTTTTCTATATGTTTATGTCCATTTATTGCTATGGAATTTGCACTTACAATCTGTCAAAAAGAAATAACAAGTTTATGCCCACCAAGAAGAGAATTACTGCTTCTTACATGTTTTTTTAGTGATAGACATTTATTACTAAGTTGGTTTTGAACATGAACTGGGGATGAAATATAAATTAGTGAGGTTAAAGGTTTGGTTAAGTAAGTATGCATGTTATTTAATCAATCCTTTTATTTCATATAGTCTTCATAACATTTTTAGAAAAAAAAAAAAAAAAACTCGAACCCACCCGTGATAACAACTACAGCAGAATTCTAAGAATAAACCTCCCAGCTACAGTTTGAATCCTCTCAAATTTTACCCCCAAGGAGATGTCAAGATACGCTAAAAGGTTTTGGAAACTCAAACGATTCCCCTGACATCCCAGTTCAATTACCAATCATTTAATTGTCTGCAACCAGTCTCTTTATCAAATTTAAGCTACTAAGAATGAACAGATTGGAATATTACTTTACAGCTTGTTTTTCTGTTTCACCATTGCTGTTTTGGCAATACCAGGCTTTTCATGATCAACAAGAGTCTAATTCCCAGCCAACATGTAACAATCTAACTTTGGGTGTCCCACCTCTTCATATCTATTCATGGCTCAACATCTACCCCCCCCCCCTTCCTAACTTCTCCTGTATCTGTCACTGATATCCTGTTAATATAAATAATTCAAATTGAAAAAAAAATAGTAAAATAAAATATCAATAATGCCCTCTCCCGAATTAGAGAAATTGGGGATAATCAAGTCTGAGAATTTTATAAAAGAAATGAAAGTGCATGCACAGGAAGTCAGGTGGAAGAGAAACCACATTTAGCCCATTTTCAGTTCAGTTCTTGTCTCTGTCTGAACACAGTGTTAAGGTCTGGGCGGTCCAATACTTCAATATGTCCTTATACTACAGCTCAGCCTTAGGAGAGTAGATAAACAGACAAGAAAACTCCATTTAATAATTGAGCTCTTTCATCTTGTATCATTTATGGGTTTTGAAGAACTGAGTCAACTTGCCAAACACTTCTGCAAAGAAGCTATGTGTTTTAATGATAAGGTAGTTGCTCCATTGAATTCAAACAAAAGCAGAAGAACGATTGTATATTTACTAAAATGAATATTTTATAAATCGTATATGAAAAAGATGATTTGAATTTTTTAATGAATTATGTTCATATCAGAACTTGAAGTATATCAGACGTATGAGTTTGTTATTTATTATGACATTTGAAATATTCAAACATTGTCCTTGATAAAACATTGATAAATTTTTTGTGTCATATTATCCAAAACGTCATCCCATTAAAAGAAAAGTTATTTTTCTTTCTTTTCTCTTTTTTTGTGAATAACTAAATGAAAACACTACATTTTGATATAGTAAAATGTTGGGAATATAAAATGTCTGGAATTTTCAAATGTTGCAATGGTTTTCATCAGAAAAGCATTAGCTTAAGAAAGATGATGTGACAAAATTGCTTGAGCTGATTTCTGGGGCTCAATATGAATGGTCCTAGAAACAAGTTCAATACACAACTATAGAGGGCATTCCAATAGCACAGAACTCTGTCAAGGGAAAAATGCAATTACTGAAAAGGATAAGAGGAATCAACATAAATGCTCTGAAAATATTAGGTGGCTGAGATTCACTTGAAATTGTAATAACTTCTTTCCCTCCTGAATTATCATCAATCCTGAAAATTTCACCAAAATATGGAAGAACTTCATCCTGTCCACCAGCAAACAGAAAAACCATCATTGTAAAAACAGATTCTCTTGTTTGTTGTAGGGTATTAAGTCACAATAAAATGGCATTCACCACTAGCTACAGTCCATAGCTACTGTTGCCTAAGGGCCTGTTCAGAACCATTTAGTCCCTGGACTACCTAGTCCACAGATCAAATATGATGTACACTTGACATTAAGTTCCCACTTCCCATGTACCCATGCCCCTTAAAATTAAATCCTGGCATGCTTTCAAGTGAGTCCTGTCATATTTGATCCATGGACTAGTTAGTCTGCGGACCAACTGGATTTGAACAGGCCCTTAGAGTGCACTCTCACATTTCAATCCCCACCTGGCTATCTCCTTCAAACCAAACTCATCTTCAAACACCCATTCCACAACACAAATCTCAATTCCCTTGAAAATAAAGCAAACATATGAAGAAACAATTGACTATTTCCTGTCCATTTTGTAGTGTAACTCAAAGTCATTATGGTTGTTTAAAACCTCCACTCTATTACACAGAAATTTCCCATATGGCCATAATGTAAACTAGAAGGTGACAGATAATGACCATTTACTAATAAACACTGTCAATGAATGTCCCTGGGTGAAAACATACATTCAAATGAACAAAAAATGACAAGAAAATGACAATACTAGTCATCCACTGCGCCTATTTCTCAAAGAGAGGGTTTATGTTGGTTTACCCCCTCCCCTACCTTCCTTTTAAATAATTTTTCTTAAGGGGCCCTTGATCCACTTTCATGAAAAATGACACCTGGTGATTTCTATCTACGAAAGTTCAATCACCTGGGATTGTGAAACCTAAAATGAAAATGTGGTGATTGTGTGTGACTCATAAGACAAACAGAGAGAGCCAAAGAGGGAAAATTGTTAGATCCTGATTGCATATTGTTTATTTGTGCTTAAGAAAAAAAATACAAACACTATACATTTATACGTACTGGGACACATTTCATATCCACATGTCCACACACACACACACACACACACATACACACACACACACACACTGTAACAAACACAGACAGACCACAGTGACACAACCACACACATAAACACATACTGTGACACAAACAAATACACACACACACATTGTGGCACAAACACAAAAGTTAACACACATACATATATATAAAGACACACAAATAAGTCAACACAAACATTTTATAAAACATTACAAATATGGATTTACTAAAACATTACTGTACAGACGTAACATATACTGACGGCAGTACGCTGTAAAATTTAATACAGAAATCTTGCAGTATGGGCAGAAAGAAAAGCAATGGAATTAAAATGTCTTGCATTGAGAAGGGGAGAGGGGAGTTGAAGGGAAGGAAGGTGCCACAAAATCTGGAATTGAAAAACTCACCTTCATCTCTGATTTTCTGGTCTTCTGGAGACCGTATCAAACCAATATCTTTGATATCTCCAGCTATCTGTTTGTCAGCCATGTCCTCTGGTTTGTCCCGATCGTGTGGACGCTTACGTGCCCAGCCCCCATTGACTTGGCTAGAAAGTTAAATTACATTCATTTCAGAATCATCGAAAAAAAGGTAGCAAAAATACAAGTTTTGAATTCTTTCACTGCTTTGACGTTTGTCCAGCAATATGAAGTATGCTGGGCTCAGTTCAAACACATATTTGTCTTTTTACCCCAAACTGCCCTGATATATTCTACTAACTGAAATAATCACAGAACTAAGTTGCTAGTTTAGTCACCACACAAGTTCTTACCACGTATTTAAAAACCAGAAAATAAATCATACTTATAGTAGTTTAAATAAAACTAGTGTGACATTACTTTTTTTCAGTGAAATAGCAAAGCAATAATGATGGAATTATGACAGACACCATTTTATCACTTTAATGTGAAAACTTACTTTTTCTTTTCAATACGCAAAACCTCATTCTGCTCTGCCATGTCATGATGTACATGACCTTCACCTTCAAGGTGACCTTGATGACCCTGACCTTCATCACCAAGCCTGTGGTGGGGCATCATGTCATGCGCCCTGAATTCCTCAGACTCGATGTCCACATGCTGGATGCCGGGATTTCTAGGTATCAATCTGGCCTGTCTTGGCACCTGACCTTTACCCGCTTCGAATGCTGACAGATTCAGGAATAGGTAGATGATGACAGCCCAGGATAAAGATGTCAGGATGACCCCATAGCAGAAGAATTTGTATGGCTTGGCCATCTCAATTCACTGTCCTCCACTTGCTTGGCATTGTATTTTTCCTAGAATTATTAAATTATGTCAAGGTCATTGAAGGTCATGAGGATAACAAATCCAGTTATTTATGAAATTTATTTATTTATAATATGAGGGTCATTCTACTGAGTAACACCAGTGATCTACATCTATTTTATATAACAATTGCATAACTTTCACTTGCTTCATAATTTCCAGTTTTCAACTATAGAACTATAAAATAAAAAGTGATTAAAAAGTGTTNCCGTTTTTCTTATATTGTGTTTACAGTGTTGCATATATGCTGAAAAATGAAAAAAAACGCATAAGTACTAAAATAGTGGCCCGATCATGCCGATTTTCGAACTTGACCTGCATTTTAGTAAAATTGAGTACTTCTGTAAGTTTCATTACAACAGGACTATTGGTTTTCCTTTAAATGTGTTTACAGTGTTGCATATATGCTGAAAAGTGAAAAAACAGCATAACTTCTACAATAATGGCCCGATTATGCTGATTTTCGAACTTGACCTGCGTTTCATGAATATTCATCAGCTGTGTAAATATAAAGCCAAAAAGTAAAACTGTGTTCCACTTATCATGTTTACAAGGAAAGTGCACGGCGCCGGCGACGGCGACGGCGACGGCGACGACAGACGCAGGTGATGGCAATATGTACAGACACATCTGTGTCTGTACATAAAAATACAAACACTATACATTTATACGTACTGGGACACATTTCATATCCACATGTCCACACACACACACACACACACACACACACACACACTGTAACAAACACAGACAGACCACAGTGACACAACCACACACATAAACACATACTGTGACACAAACAAATACACACACACACATTGTGGCACAAACACAAAAGTTAACACACATACATATATATAAAGACACACAAATAAGTCAACACAAACATTTTATAAAACATTACAAATATGGATTTACTAAAACATTACTGTACAGACGTAACATATACTGACGGCAGTACGCTGTAAAATTTAATACAGAAATCTTGCAGTATGGGCAGAAAGAAAAGCGATGGAATTAAAATGTCTTGCATTGAGAAGGGGAGAGGGGAGTTGAAGGGAAGGAAGGGGCCACAAAATCTGGAATTGAAAAACTCACCTTCATCTCTGATTTTCTGGTCTTCTGGAGACCGTATCAAACCAATATCTTTGATATCTCCAGGCGCGTGTATCGCAGCAATCTGTTTGTCAGCCATGTCCTCTGGTTTGTCCCGATCGTGTGGACGCTTACCTGCCCAGCCCCCATTGACTTGGCTAGAAAGTTAAATTACATTCATTTCAGAATCATCGAAAAAAAGGTAGCAAAAATACAGGTTTTGAATTCTTTCACTGCTTTGACGTTTGTCCAACAATATGAAGTATGCTGGGCTCAGTTCAAACACATATTTGTCTTTTGACCCCAAACTGCCCTAATATGTTCTACTAACTGAAATAATCACAGAACTAAGTTGATAGTTTAGCCACCACACAAGTTCTTACCACGTATTTAAAAACCAGAAAATAAATCATACTTATAGTAGTTTAAATAAAACTAGTGTGACATTACTTTTTTTCAGTGAAATAGCAAAGCAATAATGATGGAATTATGACAGACACCATTTTATCACTTTAATGTGAAAACTTACTTTTTCTTTTCAATACGCAAAACCTCATTCTGCTCTGCCATGTCATGATGTACATGACCTTCACCTTCAAGGTAACTTTGATGACCCTGACCTTCATCACCAAGCCTGTGGTGGGGCATCATGTCATGCGCCCTGAATTCCTCAGACTCGATGTCCACATGCTGGATGCCGGGATTTCTAGGTATCAATCTGGCCTGTCTTGGCACCTGACCTTTACCCGCTTCGAATGCTGACAGATTCAGGAATAGGTAGATGATGACGGCCCAGGATAAAGATGTCAGGATGACCCCATAGCAGAAGAATTTGTATGGCTTGGCCATCTCAATTCACTGTCCTCCACTTGCTTGGCATTGTATTTTTCCTAGAATTATTAAATTATGTCAAGGTCATTGAAGGTCATGAGGATAACAAATCCAGTTATTTATGAAATTTATTTATTTATAATATGAGGGTCATTCTACTGAGTAACACCAGTGATACATCTATTTTATATAACAATTGCATAACTTTCACTTGCTTCATAATTTCCAGTTTTCAACTATAGAACTATAAAATAAAAAGTGATTAAAAAGTGTCATGAAACAGTTTTGCAAATATTTTGCAAAACATGTTCATCACTGACAAGATCTGCAAACTGCTTAATATCCATCCAACATTCCACAATAAATATAAAATGCTTTTCTGTTAAATATTTTAACAAACTCAGCCATCAATTTCTGCTGTCAGAAAGAACTCTGCCGATAAAGTGTTTCAAACAGATCTGACAAAATCCATTTCAGTATGCATTGGCTGTTATGGCATAGCAGGAAGACAAACCAAATGCCCATTAAGTTAAAATACCATCTTAAAGAAAGGTACATTATTTCAAGATTTACAGATCAGTGGCACTCATAAAACAATCTTTCTTGCTTGTTCCAAACTCGCCATTCAGGTATTATGAATAAAGAACTGTATATGGAATTAAAACAATTAATTCTGACCATTATTCAGAGAAATTACAACGTCATCACCTTCCCCTCTATCACAGGGTGTCCAGTAAACTATAAAAAAAAAACACAAGCTCTTTAACGTGTGCTGCAGATTTGCATCCATTTTAGTAACCATAATGAAGTTAAATGTTTTTGCTAAAAGCCACATCGCCTGTACTAATGTCCCTTCTGCATTCCCCAGTGATCGTTTCACCCTCCAACTTACAGCAATTGACTCCAATAGAAAATCATTTCAAGGTCCTCAGCAACAGTGATGTTTGTGTTCATCCTACACCGTATTATATAGGAACTGTTGAGGTTATAATGACTGGCACAAGTTATATGGTAAGCATCATTTTTAATTATTATATATATATATATATATATATATATATATATATATATATATATATATATATACTAGTATTTATTCCTTTTTATTATGTAACCTTATAGGCCTACTATTGTGTAATTTGTTTAAGCACTGAAGCTGCATTTGTTTAAAAGAACATAGTATTTTCTACATGATTACAAGAAGTACGGTTATATATAAGAGAAAAATCAAAATCCTTGGATTTTTTCACTGAGTTTTCTTGTTGACAACATATTATATGCCTATAGTTTTAGCCAGTGTTTATAACAACAACCTGGTGACAATAGTTTACTGGAGTGATTCTGAAATGGAATTCCTAGAAAAGTATGATGAAACCATACAGAAACCTAAGGTAATAAGATAACTGTAATAACATGGATAGGTAGCACTTTAAAGCATATCTTTCCTTACATTTAGTCAAAACCTTCAGAGAAAGCATTACATTTATGAATAAATCACAAAATACCAATCAAATTTAGATAATATTCAGGGCATATCTGCAATTAAAATACTGCTGATTTAAAACTTGCTAATTGTGGTGAACCAGGTCTGCAGGATATATTACAGTGTAAACCTTCCTTCCCATCACCTCAGTAATGACATGCTCCCCACCTGTGGAAGACGGGATATTAGAGTTTGTTTGGTGCATTTCACATCTCCTATAGCATACAGTATATGAGGCAAAGGTGGTCATAGAGTCACAGGTTCATGCCGCGGTCTTCAGTCAGCTATGGGTAACATCACACAAAGGAGTACTTAAAGCCTTGAATACCCCTCCCCCCACCACCCATTTACTCGGTTTAAGGGGCATTTAGGATGAAATGACAGTATTTTATTTTGTTATGTATGTCAAATAATACACTGTCACCTTTTTGCTGACGCTCGAGGTGTTCTGGCCTATATATCGCTTGCATTTCAGTATATTATCTTAAACACTTATACACAGCTGGCTGTAGATAGCACCACATAAATGAGTACCTACAACCTTGCCCCTTAAGTGCCAAATCTGTAGTTCATTTAAAGAACATTGTAGAATAGATCTATTAATATTCCAGACTTAAGCCACCCTGCCCGCAAACTTTCTACTGAGGCTAGCATTTAGTTCAATGTCAATACCTAATAAATAACTCTAAGACCGTGTTCAGATTCACACATCATTCAAGCTGGGTCTGCCCAACTCTGCAGGACATTTTCGTTAAAGCACAATCAGTGTAATCAGCTTAAGTGCCTGACATGCCTCCTCGAGCAGCTAGGGGTAATTAAGTATTATGTGCTGATTGAGCTAATTCCACTGATTGCACTTTAGCAAGAATTTCCCGCGGAGTTGGACCAATCCAGCTGGTGCGAAGTGCGAATCTGAATACACCCTTCAATGCCTTCCTCCCACCTGCCTGATCTGTATTCATTAAATCTATGTGAACTGCTTCTGAGGATAAATGGCCACTGGGATCTGAGAGAGAGAGAGCTAAGGAGAAAAGATAAAAATAAAGAGCATCCGAGGGCTTATCTAGCATACATAATAAATCCTATACCAGCCAGGTCAACCAACTGTGCCAGATTAAGATCTGTTCACCCCCCCCCCCCTCTCCAAGTCTCGAAATCATGAATATTTTAAAATCACTGGCTAAAAGAACACTACTAGTGATGTTAGACGCCAGGTCAAAAAATAAGAAATAAAACAATTTCCAGCTTTTTATGCTTTACAAAATAAACGGATATATATCTAAAAAATAATATTCAGTAACAATACCTGAAAAAAATCCATTGTGAAAGATCAGTTGGATCCATTGAAGAAAGTGTGATTTTGTCAATAACTAAAAACGATCAATTTTTGCAACAAACCCGATAAGAAAAGTGTTTGCAGTTCATGAGTAATAGCCACATAGTGTTATCTTCGATCATCTTCCCCAAGTTACGATGTTCATTCTTGCACAGATTTCAGCTTACTTGGAATCTGAGAGATGCAAGTTGCAGTATTGAAAGATTAGAGACAGTGATCTAAAACAATAATGGCAAAATATGGACTTCCTATTTCTGGGTGACAGAGGGCAATGCTTTCAGCATTTCAGTTGGTCTTAAAGGCCATGAGAAAAAAAAATGCCGACTAAAAGGAGTTCTATATTCAGAGGACATAATCTGGGATGTCGAACTATGAATCACCTGCATAAAAGAGAGATGTTCAATCTTGCGTGTACCTTTCAGCAACCGTCTGGCCAAGCCATATCTCTGCATTATGAGGGAAATTACATTATAACATTATCAAAGCAACCAGTTCAAATCACTGAAGATGGATTGTGAAAGCAAAAAAAGGTTTGATTCAGTATATTCGAACATCTTTTTCTGAAAAGTGTGAGGAAACAACTCAGTTCATTTTATGAATTTTGGTGATTAATACATCAAGAAAAAGCATAATAGTGAACATTCAAAGATATGGATTTAAAAACTTTGACAGACGCCATGAGGTGTTTGGAACTGCAAAAATTCTTCACACGCGACACTGGATCTTTTAAGAAAGTAAATTCTGTAAAATTCTTTTCAAAATGATGTTTATAATAGGAGGGACTATGACAGCGATGGAAACCTCTGGGAAATACTGGTACCACTATGGTTATTCATAGGCAGAGATAATAAAGGGCAAAGGAAATGAAGACCATTGGAAGGTCAGTGACAACAGCTCTGTGAAGCATACCTAACTCCTCTCAACTTTTGAACAAAGTTTATTTATGATGCATGGGAAAGACAAGTATTGGTAACTGCAACATATTCTAACAGCTACAGATCCCAATCCAATTTTTTTACTCGTCAAGAAAAAAATAAATCTCATAGACAAGCTGGGATCAGGTTCAGGAACTAAGGCTTTGTGAGTAAATCATTAAGATGAGATTACACCACTGACATGTTTGGTACCTATGAGTAGTTATGATTTGATGTGACATGAAGACAGGTATTTTACCTGGTTCTCAGTACTTTGCAACACATCATGCAACCCCCCCTACAGGATATTAGCTCCTTAGGTAAGTGTTTTATCCTACAGTGTACTGAACTGATCTCTTGACAGCTTTCACCCTCATTAATTGATCTTGATCACAGTGATAATTACAGTAATAATCATCAAATTCCTTCCTGGCACATTCCTTTAAACTCTGAACATAACCACCAGATGGAGACACAATCATATGCGTGATGCTGCAAAACCATCCAATTAAAGGAAAGGCCATAAAAAAAGGTATAGAGTACATCTCCTGTGAGTCTCCGTTTCATGTGCCGTGGTAATTTTTTACTGATATGGGAAGATAATATTTCAATATGCCTCTTTCTGAAATCACTGTCCTTGACCTTACCTTGACCTTTTCTTGGCCTCAGTTTAAACCCAATATGAATCTGACCTGTGGTAGCTGCCTGGCTGATCTGGTATCTCATTATATAAATAGTTAAATATTAGACTTGTAAAGTTAGCAGCTTGAATGGGCTAGTGAAACTTTCAGCAACTGTTTCATACTATTAACCCAACATCGATAGATTCCAACGTCCCCAAAGGCCATCATTTAGATCAACTAGCAGTAAATTTTTAATAGAGACACAGTCGATGGATACTTACACACAAAAACTCTGCATCTAGAACATCAGGTAGATCAAAAGTCTACTTTCTCTTCCTGCACATGCACAAAATCTCTAACTCGTCTCCAACTTATTGCCCCCGCTTTATCTTCCAGTCCAACTCCTCCACCATGTTAGCTAGGTCTGAAAGAAGAAATAAAATATACAGTGGATTGATCTGACAATCTGTTATATCCCATTACAGCTCACATCCACAAATAATTCAAATGAAAATGTGAGCATTTCATTTTCAGCCATAAATAATAAAAATCAATGTCATAACGATGTCTGCACAATCTGCTTGATTTTCTGTGGATATATAATTAAGGGGACAATATCTGTATGTTGTTTTTGTAATCATAATACCAAATCATTTCATGAAGTAACCAGTGCTTTTGTTCCAAAAAACTGTCCCTATACCTACTAGTAACTACTGGCTGGGTTACCTACTGCACTGCAACCCTTGCTTAGGGCATGCTACTGTAACTGATAAATTGACTTAAGACAATATGTTGTTAATTTATAATTAAAATGTCATAAAATGAATTCCCAAGATTTTTCCGTACTAAAAATACTAGTATGTTATTTTAATTGTTTTAAAAAACAATACAAATGGCATGATGCAAAATTTAATATTTTTCTTTATTTTCAGTACACAGCTCTGTTTCTTTCAACCCATCCATTCAACTCTTTCAATACATAACATAATTGCAATGTCTGTACCTACTTTTTCCCAATAAAACATTTGTAATTTAATCAGCTCTTCCCAAATCGATTCACAGTTCATGTTAACAAATGATGATATTGGTTTGCTACTGGATAATAGGGAGGGAGGGAGGAGGAGAGGGAGAGAGAGACTTGACATCTGAGAGCAAATAAAACACTGATAAATTTGTAATAAAAGTACTACTGACAGGACTTTATAAAGATTTTCTCATTTTACCTTATCAAGAAGTGTGAAATCAAACCAGACATGCTGAAACTGTCGGTCCGATCGGTCATGAAAATTTGTCTGGACCAGTAAAAAAATGGACTTGGTCGGTCCAAAATTTACAGTCATCGTTCGATATACTTTACTAATAAAATTATATAAAACCCAAAGCGTTTTTTCCCTTCCATTTCAAACCTATCATATTCACAAACAAAGTAAGCTACCCTTATCGTACTGGTATTATCTGTTTCAAATGAATAGGGTGATTTTCGGTCCAACAAAAATCCATTCGGTCCGGCATATTTTTCATTACTGCCGGTCCAAATGTCCAGCCATTCTGAAAAGTTTTCAGCAGGTCTGATCAAAGTCTCCAATTCAAAGCTGAAACTAGGCATATGGCATTGGGACATATATATATAGTCCCTTATCAGGTTTTCAGGAATAAGATTGCCATTTAGTGAAACAGTCGGAAAATATGGCATGGGGTCCAGGGGGGGGGGGGGNTCTCTTGTGTCTGTATCCATGGCACTATCAGTCTCTTGTGCCTGTATCCATGGAAATGTCAGTCTCTTGTGCCTGTATCCATGGAAATGTCAGTCTCTGGGGCTGGTCTAAACATCCTAATTTTCTACCCAAGTATATCACACACTGAAGATTTCATTTTTTTTCACCAGTTCTCTCACTTACTAGTGCTTTGTCTCAATGCATCCATGCATGCTACTAGCATTTCCTTTCCTATTTTAGCAAATGATATGTTCCCAAAGCGTACTCCTGCCAGTCCTGGGCTTGTCAAGATGGAGGTTTGTCTCAATCTGAGCAGAACTAATGACGTGGATCAGTAAGACAGACAAATCTGTGTGAGAATTACAGCAGCTGTATCTATATAGTTACACATACGCCCCAGTCTGAATAATACTTCAATAAAACCCTCTAACTGTGTCATGGTGAAGATAACCACAGCAGCTTAGGTGTGGAGAATTCACGATGATTCTTCTGTGGTTATTTTATCATGAATCAGGTCACTTAAAACACAAGACTGTGTTTAAGATCTAAAACAGTTTCAAATATTGGAAAGAAAATGTGATTTCAAGGAAAACATCTGATGTGGCATGGCCAATAAAAAAGGAGGTCAACTTTACATATGATACATTACCTAAATCAATAAACCAATACACTGGCAATCATTATGTACACAACTTTAAATAAAAAATTGGTAAATACCCCCCCCCCCCCCAAACTCCCACTTGGCCTATATTAGGATCCAACATGTTCCTAGACGTACCAAATATGAACTAAACATACACATTATAAATTTAGTAAAAATACAACTTTGAAGAGTTAAATGCAAAACGAAAACCACTGAACGCCCCTCCAGCTCAGTATATCATAGCTACTCCTTCTGTGTATTTGTCTGCAGTAAAGTTTCTTGTATTAAAAACTTGTGATATAAAAAATACAGATACACACTAGTTCTTGGTGTTTTTGATGATAATTAAACAGCTAGGACACTCCAGTGAGTGTGGAGAATCAATCTGGTAAAAACAACATGTTGGGAAATAGAGGAGCAAATTCTCCTACATTGTAGTATACATAGAAATATAATTTGTCTACGACACCACACATAGTACAGTACTGAGTAAGTGCATGAAGAATGAACATATCAGTTTAACCTAAGGGCACATTCAGAACAAGTCGATTCCCAGACTAACAGACACAAGAATCAAGTATGGTCGGCCCACTTGAAAGCTTGCTGCATGATCCCCTTTAAGACACTGAATAGATTTCCTGTGGGGATTACGGGTTATGCTTTCACGTGGGTCAGCCATACTTGATCTGCAGATCTGTTACTTAGCGGATCAACTTTGGTTGTAAATGTGGCCTTAGAAACTCAGTTCACTGCTGAAATTGCTGCAAATATTTTGAAATTTATCTTGTTGATATGTTGTCCAAAGCTTAGACCACACACACATACACACGCACACACAGACACACACACACACACACTCACACACACGCACACACACATCCACACACACACACACAGTAACAAATACAGGAGAAGAAGAGAGACATTGTTTAAAACGCCACATCCCGCCATGCAGTGACCTTATGGCTAGGACACATGCATGTATATTACAGCAATGTACAGGCTTATGATAGATGGCTATAGACTATGCCAATGTGCAAAACCCATCTTTCCATCACTGCAGTACCGATACTGTTGTTCATGACTAATAGCAACAACTTATCTAATCCACCGTGAATGAGGAACTGTAACATGTACATGTAGTTACACTGCATTATGATGAAGCTCAGTGAAATGCTTTTATGTGGTATTTATATCAGGCAATACCTCTTCGGCATGTGTGAAACGTTAAAAACATTCTCCTGACTCATCACTTACCTCAGACGTGAGTTTTACACGGTTCAAATAACGTCAGTAAAGGTAAAAATCCGGAAGCACTTAAGAGAAAAACTTTTTCATGGGCGCTGCCATATTGGGTTTCTCTAGTTAAAAGAATGGCGCTCCGAGGATCACTGATCACCTTCAAATGAGAAAGAAAGCGGTATACATATCCTTGTGCAGTGTCGGTACGGCATTTACCCTATGGGGTTATAAGGAACCACTGTATCTAAAAAGAGATGTAATATACAGAGAGGCAAAGGAGACATGAAACTTGCATTCAGACAAAAATAGATAGGCTCTATAAATAAATTTTAAGTACATGTACAGGAGATGAAAAAACGTGCAAACGGATGAAATGTTCATCATTAGTAGGCCTAGATCAGGGAAAACAAAAGGATTTTTAAAAAATGAAAAAAAAAAAATGAAAGTGGAACAGTACAAAATGACTGATTTAAATGTTTTATGTAGCCTAATATAAACTAAAAGCCGAGTCTTATAAGGATGAAAGATGGTAATTAATGAATTACCATCGAAAAAGTATGGGGGCGTATAGGCCTATCACGGGAGTGAAACGTGTTTGGATACAATACATGTACATGAAAGTATGAGTGCATTTTAAAGTGAAGTTTTTAAAAAAATCAACTAATAATAATAATAATAATGATATTTTTTAATGACGAGAATCCCCATTTTATGTAGACCAAGTATTTCGTTGTCTGCGTGGGGCATGCCTTAAATTGATCAAGAATAGGTACGGAATAAATGGAAATAAAAATCGAAAAGTTATACCTACTGTAAGACTAGAAAATCCCATGATAAACTAAAAGGTTTATATGAACTTTTTTCTTAATATTAATTTTTACAGTATGTCCGACGTATGGTAGGCCTACTAGGCCTAATATTGCTCAAATTTCGGAAGACGGAACGTTTTAAATAGCGGCGCGTTTAGTAAAGGCATATTCTGTTTGGAATGTTCGCACCAAATTTATTTTTCATCGAGAAAAAAAGGTAATTTTCACCCATTCTCAAGTTATTGAAGGGACCCTTTTTGCGCTTGGATGAGATGTTATTTCCAACTAAATAACTTAGTTCGTAACGAATCCGATTCGTTTAGACCACCACGTCTTCCTGACATTTCAGTAGGAAACATCGAAATTTGGTGCTTTTAATTTGAGAGGTTTTATAATTTTAAAAGTCTGCATTGGTAGCTCTGCAGGGCATCTAGTTTTAAAAATGATTTGGGGACATTTCTAACGGCGTATAAAGTATCATTTTAATAATGTCTTAGATATTGGCAAATCAATTTTAACTGATATTTAATTAAAATATTAGCAGATAAAATATTAAATTTTAATTGAAACATTAGCGGATTTCTCGTCCGTACATCGCAAAAATTACGTAGCGGCGCATTTCATATTTAAATAAATCCGAAGATAACGCGCATTTTATTTTTATGTTTTATTAAATTTGAAGAAATTTCCAGCGATAGCATGGCACAGTGTCCTTACTGACAAAATGTAAATGTTTTTTTTTCACATTCATGTGAAGATCTGTCGCGGTACTACCTTTATATCTACGTACCGCGACGACACTAGTCTAGTTGTACATTTATTTTAATTTTTCAAACTATGTAAAACCTATGCATATAGGAGCTAGGATAAAGATAAAACCATACACGGTTCTTCAGTTGCCTGTCTTTTATAGTACCTACAAACTTCCAGCAATGTAAAGTTCTGATTTTCATCACAAATATAGCCAGGGAATTATATATGATATAATTCCCTGATATAGCATAGCTCATTGGCGGCTAACGAGTTCTTTAGAGCTAAAAATTCTTAAGTACATGAGTGTGAAAAGACCGAACACAAAGTTAGAACGACCAGCAAAGATATATGAAATAATAAAACCATTTAGGTATATCGATACGTTAGGATCTATTTCCTTATCCGATTAGATTATGCAACAATAAACCTCGTTATGATGTTGGTGTTTCATCAAAAATACATAGATTCGCTTATTCGATCTTTCTTGTCAAAATTGTTTTTGGTTTCAAGCAGATCAACTTTACCTGAATAACTATCACCACAGTTTTAACGTCTATTTAATTATAACAATAAGTACAGAAATCTGGTGCCAGGGAATCTTATACACGTATGGATTACTTCGGATTTTATCAGTAAACGGGCAAAGCAAAAGTTAGTTTAATGGAACATCGTAATAAAGGGGCCATATTTCATTGAAAAAAAAAAAAAAAAAAAAAAAAGGAATTGATTTTACACCGTTGTCGTTAACCACGATGTCTGACTTAAACCGCATTCAGATTCACACATCGCACTAGCTTGAACGGTCCAACTCTGCAGGGAATTCTCGTTAAAGGGCAATCAGTGGATCAGCTTAATTTAATTACCTGGCACGCCTCCTAGAGCAGCTAGGGGGTAATTAACTGTTGTGTGCTGATTGAGCTGATTGTACTGATTGCACTTTAACAAGAATCCCCGACCTAGCTATAGTTCGATGTGTGAATCTAAATGCGCCAAGAGTTACGGTGTAAGGCGCAAACCGATCGAAATGGGAGGATTTTTGGATTCATTATAATCATAATTATGATTTAGAAGATTTAAACTGCAATTGTTGTAAAAATGTAAGTAAACAAATAAAAAAAACCCATCGAAAGTAGAAATTATATAGCTCAGAGGTAAGCGATTCCGTTCACTTGAAAATGGGACAGAAAACGACAACAGAGTAGAGTTTCTTTGTGGAAGTATCCATGTTTTCACAGATACAAAGGTGGAATGTTTATCAGATTCGATGTTTCGCCGGCAATTCCTGTCTGTCTTGAGAGGAAGGGGGGAGAGGGAGAGGGTATATAGGCCTATAGTTGTTTTGAATTAAACTATATGGTGAATTTGGCACTGTTAATTAAAATCAAATTAATGAAATGTACCAAATTTCATTTCTTTGGATATTTGGTCTCGACATTTCCACCTGCGCCTTTTTAAAAGAAGATTTTTTTTAATTTATAAAGAAAAAGGATGACAAGACGGATAGGCGTACTTATGAGACAAAGTCTTCATAAAAGTTATTCAAAAGGAAAACGGTTTGTTAGGCCAATCATGTAGGGCCTATCCGCCTCTTTTAAAACAGAGTGTAGCCTACTATGTTTGGGAATGAAATGAAGGAAACAAGTATTTTTACAACCGCGCCATGGAATCGCTGTTTAATTTAAATTGCAATCAGAAATCCATGGCCCCAAATCGCAAATTGGCAAATTGTTGTAGGTCTATATAGTAGCCAATAGGCCTACATAAGACCTGTATGAATTGAAAGCCTTGTCCAGGAGTGCCTGAATTACTTAGGCCCTGCATGTGATATTCATATTTAGAGAATTTGTTCCCAAATAATATGTGGTATTTTATTAACGTAGGCCTACGTGCAATATAAATTTGCGCTTACGACATAGGTTATTTATTGCAGGCCCCTATTAATCCTATACTAGGGGCGGATTTAGGCTGTCTTCTGGGTCTTCTGGAAGACTGTCAGATTTTCAAGTTTACGTTGTCAGCCATCTAATGTTTTCTGTTGGAAGACGGACAAAAATGGAAGATGGATCAACAAAGATGATTTGGAAATTAATTAAGACTGTCAGAAAATATCTCTGGATCCGCCCCTGTAGCCTATAGGCCTACAACCATGAAGGGCCTATGTTATTTATGTTCCTGTAAGATCTTTTAAATTTATTTCCAACGGTGAATACAAGATATTCCTACAGCTTAGTCCAAAAGTTTGCAATTTGCAAATAATAAATTATTTCATATAGGGTGTACAAAATTTGTGGACTTAGGCCCTACGAACTACCATCTAAACGCAACTACATAGGGGGGCTATGGAGGCTCCATGTTCAGGCCTTATGAAAATATTATAGTAATTTAAAACTCGGGTGTTCTTAATTCGCAGCCCACTTGTGGAACTTTGCCGTCACTTCTCTGTCGCACTGTGACAAACCAAAGTCAGAGTTACTGCAAGAGAATAATTTAGGTCGGTTTTATCAGGTCGCATTCCTAATTTTAGACACACCGCAAGGTGCTTGTTTACAGAAAGAGCGGCTGCTACGAATCTGCCGACCACCAAGTTGCAAATTTTTAAGCGTTAATGGTAATTTAGAGCAGGAACGCTGCTTGGACGTCGCATTGGGGATTTAATCTAGCTATATTTAGTTTTCGATCACTCTGGGAAGCACGTTTTTATTCAAGACTTGTTGCTTTTGTAGGTTGCATGTCGGTGCGACCGCAGCATAAGCGGAGTAAAGCCGGGGAAGTTTGTGGGTCAACAAGCAGCTGATATCTTGCGTGCATTCTTGCTTTAATAGTGCAGTGTCAGCACGTGTTGGAGGGCACAGTCCTGAACGCTTGCAGACATCACGTCAACTTCGCCCAAGTATTCATTTCGGATTAAACATACGTGGATTCTACGGGAGTTAACTACAGGTGGTACCTGAAAATTTTGTCTACAATACGACGTTGACGACAACAGAAGTAGAAAAGAAGGCAGCAGCTATGGCAAGTCCTAGAACCATCACCCCTCAGATTAGCATCTCCATCTCTCCGCCGGACCCAGAACCTAACCATGAGGGCGAGGGGAGGGTGAGTACCCACCAACGTGTGGCAAGAAGGCTGTCTGTGTGTTTTCTCAACCCATGTCTCTTGTTGTTTGTGTTGGTAGTGATATATCAACTGACTGACCGCAACGGCGCAAGGACGGTGCCATATTGCACGCACTCCCGCCCCCCACCGCTCCCTCGCGTGTTCAAAACGTCATGTTATTATTATTATTATTATTATTATTATTATTATTATTATTATTATTATTATCACTTATGATAATAATGGTAAAAAAGTAATGCTTTCTACTGCTTGTTTGCATTCAGCTTTCAGTTTCTTAGTTTCGTTAATTCTACCCTCTTAGTCTACCAGGGCCACAATTATTATTATGAAGACATTTTTGCTTTCACAGTGAGAATAACCGTTAATTTAACCAGAGACATATTTGTGGATATATATTGAAAAATCAATCTGTGGCCTCGGTAGAGGGTAGTTTTATTCCAATAAAT